AGCCGCGCGGGGCAAAGCAGCCGCGCGGGGCAAGGCTGCGGCGCTGGCCGGCGCTGGCCGGCACAGCCGCGCTGGCCGAAACAGCCGCGCTGGTGACCGTGGAGCACCTCTGCCCGGGAATTTCCTAGTCTGTGGGCAATAAAAACACGGCGTCCACTCACCCTCTGCGCTTTCACTGGGAGCTGCAATCCTGAGCTGTTCCTAAACGGCCATCTTGGATCACCTCCATTAAAATTATTTTTTAAGAAGTCTCTGTGAACATAGGCTCTATGTATTATATATTTTCTTCTATATTGAGTTGTCATTTCAATTATTGTTAGTATGCAATTGATCAGAACAAGATAAATATGGTACAGAGATTAAAATAAGATTAGTATATGTCAAACTAAAATGATAGCAAATGGATCCCTTAATGAAATGGATGTATCATAGATAAAAATTAATTAGTATTAATTAAAAATTGCTAGTATGCATCAAGGTCCAGCATCAAGTCTGTTCTCTCTTTTTTTGCACGTATACATGCTGAGAAACTCTAGTAGAGATTGCTAGTGCTAACTGTAGACAGTTATCCTCTCCTTCCTGAGCACACAAAGCAGAAGACTTCCTGGACTTCCTTTCGGTTAGGTTAGGTCATGTGACTCATTCCAGCCAATGACCTGCGAGTGGAAGTGCCACGTGTTGCTTCCTAAACCCGGGAACTTAACAGATCTCTAGTGCCATAGCAGCACTGGAAGCCCCATGTTCTGCAGGTAGGACACAGCTTGGATCTGTGAGTTACTGCTTGGAGGCAAGTGTCCTGATCATAACAGGCTTCACATGACCAAGAAATTAACTTCTTTTTTTTTTAATAATTAATATCACAGGGGTTGTTTCCACAGCATACTCTAACCTATCCTGCCTAACATATAAACCTTGTTCATATAAATAAGTAGATGAGAATAAAAGGAGGTTTGTTATAACAATATCCCTCTATTACTTGAATTCCTTTCTCCTAGGTGCCAAAAAACAGTGATTCTACATTAAAAATTACTTTTTATCATCTATCACCTAGCTGCTTGGTTATGTCCTCCTTCAGTTTTCCTTAAAGCAAAGAACTGGAAACATGCTATTTGCAAAATGATTTGTTACCCAGTCATTAGAATGATTCATGTCAATTTCCTAGAAGTAAAACTAAAAGGCTTTACTAAGACTTTTCAAATAACTGTTCATTATGCCTATTACTCTTTCACTTACAGGCACTGTGCTTTACCTGATGTACAAATGAAGGCTGGGAAAAGTAAAATATTAATTCATTATAGTTCGGTCAATACCATTTTTCTATTAAAATGTCTTTATCATATTACAAGCTTTAACCAGAACACAAGAGGAGCAGATTTAGTTCATTAAATTAATACAAAATGTTCACCATACAACTTAATTGGTAAAGTCAATCCTTGTTGTCAAACCAATGAGCCAAATAAAAAAAAAGTTCAGAAAAGTTCTGATTTCATTTTTCAGTTCAAATAAGCTTGTTAATACTCATGCTCACACCTCACATGGAAATCTAAGATAAATCAAGTCTTGGGACTTTCTTCTGGATAACATAAGATGATAGGTTCTTAGCAACATGCTCTTCACTTTGTTTTCACCAGACTTTTTCTGTAGCGTGTTCTTTGACAATAGTCAGGGAACAGATGGGATAAATCTTCCATTGAAGGTAGTTAGCACTCCAACTGTTTCAAGGTACAATACGTATTAATTCGGAATATGGACATGGGGCAAAATAACTCATTTCTAAGTCATCACTTCAACTTTAACAGAAAATTGTCCTAACACAGAGAAAGATATGAGGATCTATGTAATGAGTTTATGGTTTCTTTATTAAAAGAAGCTTCACTGACATCAATATTTTGAATATTTTTCTTTGGAGCCATGGAGGATTTTCCCATAGTAAGATCTGAAATGCAAGCCATTCCTTTTTCTTTTTAAAAGTAGAGAAAGGCATTTGTGTAAAAAGAGGTGGGAAAGAAGAACCAGGAGTGCTCTCAGGTAAACCAGTTTTAAGAAAAAAATATACATGAAGATTCTGGGAATTAAGTTTCTTAAAATACACATGCTCCTGTATTCCTTATCTTGGGGAATCAGCCCAGACACAACCTAAGAAGTAATGAGGGTTGGTGAAGAGAAAGACATTAAGAGAAAAAAGTAAGAGTGCATAAAGGTGGGCTCCCAGGGGGCCGACGCAAGTAGGAGGATGGGAAGGCCCCGAGCGCTGGAGACCTACACTGTTTATTGAGTGTTTAAACAAAGAAGCATGTGCTCAGGGATGTGAGGGGTGAAAAGGAAGTGAAGCAACAAGCAGATGATCTATAGCTGTGGTGGCTTGGCATTTCCTTGGGAGGTATAGAGCATGCTCTACTTTAGATACACTGAGTAAACAGTTAGAGGAAAAGGCTGCAGCTACAGCCAGCAAGTCTGCTCTAATTCTGTTGCTTCAAAGAGGTCTTCCTTGCTTTGAGCACGGAGCATGGTCTTCCAGTAACTCCCATCCTGTGCCAGATAAGCAGACTATGTGTCAGCCTTTCTCTCAACACCTTAGGCATGTGTCCCCAGTTTGAAGACTGTTCACTTAGAGGATATATTTCAACAGCCTGTGGAAGCTCCATAAAGTTGGGTCTCAAGTTAACAACCTCTTGTCAGCCACAGATCGGAGGCCCATGGAGGACTCCAGGCCTTAGGAGACAGACGGCTGGCTATTTAGGAGGAGCATGGACCCATGAATGACTGAATAGAGCAAAGTCCTCTCGCCAGCCTATGCAGGTGTGGGTGAGAAATAAATCTTTGCTGTGTTAAGCTACCAAGCCTGTAGGATTGTTTGGTATGGCATTTCGCCTCCTTGTACTAAAAGAGTAGCTGATGGTGGCCAATAGGATCTCACCACTGCAGGAGTGAAGTGACTGCCTTGTAGCCAAGAACTGCAGTGTCCAGATGGGAATTCAACAGGAGACACAGCCAATTCTTGAGAGATAAGACAGCACCAGGGACAGCCAGAACAAAGCCAAATCGAAGAGAACAGACTACAGATTAAAGCAACTACAGACTTCATAGCAGGTGCCAGCAGAATTCCCAGGAGTAAGGCCAGACAGCTATTCTCCGTGGACACCAGATAACATACAACCACAGTCAGTTACCACCTTCTGCCCTCAACACTACCAGGACACAAGTTCTCATATACCCAACCACCACTTCGCGAAGAGTAAAGAAACTCCAAAAGACTGAATGTTTAAATAAACATTCAGTTTAACCTTATCCTTAGTAAGGCATGGACCCTTCAAAAGAAGAAATATTTAACCTGAAAGAAGACTGTTGTGCTTATAAGAGCCCAAGACACTGTTAATTGGAAAAACCCAAGAATTTCCATTACCCGGAGTCTATAAAGATGTTCAGGTTAGTCAAAGAAAAATGGACTTCTGGAGGGGCATATTAACTATGTGTGAATTTGTGATCCTGCTACACTCTTTTGGCATAAATGTAAGGAGTCCAAGTGTAATTTTGTTACATAAATACATTATGTAGTGGTGAAGTCTGGGATTTTAGTGTAACCATCACCCAAATAGCGTATAATATACCCATTACCTGCTACTTTTTTTTCTTTTCATCTTATAGCTATAAAATCTAGTTCAGATTAAAAATACATGTGAGGCCGGGTGTGGTGGCTCACACCTGTAATCCCAGCACTTTGGGAGGCCAAGGTGGGCGGATTATGAGGTCAGGAGATAAGAGCATCCTGGCCAACATGGTGAAACCCTGTCTCTGCTAAAAATACAAAAATTAGCTGAGCGTGGTGGCATGTGCCTATAATCCCAGCTACTCGGGAGGCTGAGGCAGGAGACTCACTTGAACCAGGGAGTTGAAGGTTGCAATGAGCTGAGATCGCGCCACTGCACTTTAGCCTGGCAGCAGAGGGAGACTCTGTCTCAAAACAACAATAACAACAACACACATGTGAGAAAAAGTTTCAAAAAATGTGTATATATGAATATAGCCGAATACTTCAGTATTATTTCTGCAATTTCAGTAATAGCAAGAAGTGTGTGATCTGTCCATGTGTCCAGATTCTCTGGAGATGTTGTTCAATAAAAGCATGGAGCATTGAAAGCAATACAGTTTCATTCTGCAAAATCACTTTCCTAATGGCACATTTTGTCAAATTATTATATGTGACTGTATACCTTGACTGGAAGGCTGGTTGATTAGCAGGTTTTACCAAGTCCATTGAAGAGAACAGAACTTTAATTCCGCTCAAAAGATTGTTAAATTGGGCTTTTATATCATGTGGTGAGTTCAAGCCAATTATTCTTTTGAGTCATAAATATGCAACTGCCACATAAGATAACATCTTTTAAAAAATGAAGGCCTCATACTTTAAAAAAAATTATGGAGGTAGACTCTCCCAGTGTTTAAACACTTATAGCAGTAGGAAAGAGCAGCTTTTGGTAGCTGGATTCACTGTTGCAGGCCACAAGGATTCCATTCTTAGTGGTATGTTCTTCAAATTCGATTTCTAATGATGATGGTTTGCCTCTTAGAAATTCATTCATACTTTCTCTTGGAGCTCCCCCTTGTGACTAGTGGCCCCAGTTTTGGGGCAGTTGGTTGTAATAATTAAAATGCACACTCTTTAAGGAGGCCCTGCGAGTCCCCCAGCTTCCCTCTGTCATGGAACCTTACTTCATTTTCATAACCACTCGCTATTTTCTGCATATGCATTTCTTTACTGAGTTACTGTCAGTTTTCTCTCATTAGAAAATAAATGCCAAGAAAAGATAGACCTCACCCCAACTTTCTCACCGTAGCACCTCTGTTTCTAGAACGGTACTTTTTATGAGTCGGGGGTCTCATTCAATTGCCCAGGCTGGAGGGCAGTGGCACGACCACAGCTCACTGCAGCCTCCAACCCCTGGGCTCAGCTGATCCTCTTCCCTCAGCCTCCCAAGTAGCTGGGACTGCAGGTGCATGCCATCATGCCCAGCACACTTTTTTCTTGATAGAATTCAATAAACAGTTTTGTAATGAGTAAATTTTTGGATATTGATTATGAAGCTGTTTCCTTTATAAGAAATTAATAAAGAAAAATAAGATCTGTAATTTTTTATTTACAGACAGTATTATAATCATTATTTACCATCTATACTAATTAGACTAATATAAAAGGACATGGTTTCCATAAAATAGTTTCTTAAATAGAACACCTAAACTCATTTACATAATAGAGGTATCTAGATTACTAATTTATTTAGTACTTCTCAACAATCCTCTGTCTGGTTCTAATGAGACTATAATTCAGACCTTCAGCTCTTCTCCTTTAAATCCAAGTTACATTTTGTATCTTCCAGTTGTTAAGAGTATTATATATTATTTCATATCTTTAGTTTTTCAGAAAGTTCATGAGTTTTAACAGTAAAACTGTTAAAGTTTCAATATATTACTTTAAGCTTATCTATATGACATTTTAAAATATCCAACTAAATCATCATTTAGTAATTGAAGGTTTAAGGCCACATTTTAGCTATATGGTTGTTTATAAAAGTGTACTGCTAATGAAGGTCTTTGCCATTTAAGGAAGGTGTTTTTCTTTCTCCTTTAGCTTGAGACGTTAGACCTAATAAAAATGAATGTCATCTTAAATATCAATTGAGAGCCCAGAATCTGTGATCCTTAAGCATAGAAATTAGTATTTTCCAAACTCCTGCTATTAAAAGTGAATTCAAAAGAAACAACTAAGAATCCTCTCAGAAGCCCTTTCCTTTTCCTGTCATATATGAGATTAACTTTGTTTTTTGCTTCTTTCTGTCTTTCTTAATGCAGTGAGTGTGGGTAAATGTCTGAATAGATACCAGATTGGTTTTAAAATTCTCCCAAATTTTAGTAGAGACATATTAATGCAAAAAACTATTATTCATATTGGTTTGAGAGTTTTCAATAGGGAGTTTCTTTTAATAGTTCTTGTCTTTCTGAATAATAACCAATGCATAATTTCCCCTTTTTAAGAATGGATCACAGTTTAGGGAAATGAATAAATCAAAACCCATCTGATTTGGTTAAAATTCAAAACCAGTAATCACTTCAAGAATAATTAAAATAGTGACCCAATTCACATTCTAATGGCATCTGGGCTGTAAAGGGAAAGGCAGATGAGGCTCCTGTTTAGTCTTCTTTACTCACTCGGTGGCTGTGGCATTCTCTGACCTCATTATTATTGTTCACTCTTCTCAAGATCAGGAATGAGAATAATTTCTTCTAAATGTGCTGTACTAAAGTTGGTTGTAGGATGGTAAGGATTCCGAAATCCTGCAAGTCTTCTGAAGAAGCCACCATTCTGCTTGTATATGCAGAAGGAAAGTGCGACAATGGCCAGAATGAGTAGCAGTGTCAGTACTACTGCAAGAGGAATTATGCTGTGACTTGGCCCTGAAAAGAGATTTTTTTAAAAAAGGAAAACTTCAGTGATGATGAAGTAATATAGATACCGTCATACAGTTGGTTTCTATCTTATTTCTAAGAAAAATCAAAATGTTCTGTATAGTTTCAAACATACCTTTTTCTGGCTGCTCCTCTGCAGTGCGAATATCTAAAACCAAATACAAAAATTAAAATGAGTTTTTAAAAATTCAGCAGAAATGCCATTGCTTACAGCAGGTGTCAGCAAACTATGGCCCATGGATCAAACTGGGTCACCTGTTTTTATAAAAAATGTTTTACTGGAACTTAGCCACACTCATTCATTGATGTATTGTTATAGCTGCTTTCGTGCTACAATGGCATGTGACAGAGGCCATATGGCTCCCAAAGCCTAAAATGTTTACCAGCGGGCCCTTTACAAAAAAAGTTTGTTGAGCCTTGATTTACTGCAATTATCATTATTAGTGCTCACAAACACGCATCTTTTTTTTTTTTCAAGCCAAGAACTTTCCATTCAGTCTCAGCACTGTGCTGCAATAAATCCAGAGTAAAATATAGGCCCTGCATACAAGAACTCACAGTTTTGTTGGGATCTTATATGGAGTTTGTTCAGCAATAGTAATCTGCCTGCCTCTGTGTAAGGATTTTAAAATCAGCATCTTCTCACCTTTGTGATCTCATGTATCTTGGGGAATGAGCAACAGCTTCTCTATCCAAAAAGTTAGAGTTCCTGTTTTAAAACTTTCTACTGTAAAAACACATCTTTTAAGTAGATGTTATATCAAAATGTGAACTCTTATTTTTGATCTAGATAAAGATCCAGAGAAAGATTCAGAGAATGAACTAGAGGAAGATGAATAAATGGGCTTGTGAGTAAAAGAAGTGCCTTGATGTCTTACTGGTGCTCATTCACTCTGATAGACATGAAAAAAGAAAGAATCAACACTGTTAACAATAGCAAAACCATATTTTTAAAAAACAGACTTTTTTTTGATATGAAGTCTCATTCTGTTGCCCAGACTGGAGTTCAATGGTGCTATCTTGGCTCACTGCAACCTCTGCCCTCTGGGTTCAAGCAATTCTCTTGCCTCAGCCTCCCTAGTATCTGGGATTACAGGTGTGCACTACCATGCCCATATAATTTTTGTATTTTTAGTAGAGATGGGGTTTTGCCATGTTGGCCAGACTGGTCTCGAACTCCTGACCTCAGCTGATCTGGCTGCCTCTGCCTCCCAAGGTGCTGAGATTAAAGGAGTGAGCCACCATGTCCAGCCCAGACTTGTTCTTGTAATATAAAAAGAATACCATATAGTGTTGCACTGAACTGTTGAAAACATGTATTATTGTGTTTTTATGAAGATACTTCTTTTAAATTGATGTATATCAGATGTACAAATTTTTAGGATACAAGTGATAATTGAATACAGTCATATAATTTGTTTAGTGTACTTGGGATAACCATCACTTTAAAGATACATCTTTAAGAAAGACTGTTAAGAGTGTCCTTAGGATAGAAGCAGTGGGCAGCATGGAAGGAGCACTTAGGAAACTGGGAGTTTTCTCTGCAGTCCTTGATGTAGCCTCAGTTTGGACAGGCATTTTTTCCCATCTGCAAAATGGGGATATTTTAATTGCTCTGCTACCTTGGAAAGCTGTTGCAAAGGATGAAGCAGGTGTTATTGGCATTACAGGAAGCTTTCAAGTCCTGTAAGACAAGAGGTGTTTTTGATATTTAAAAGCTAGTGATAATTTGGGCACATTATGTATTAGGCTTAGCCATGCTTTTCACACAGAGTTGAGACTCACACTGTGGGGGTTTCAAACCTTGGTGCCCACATCTGCAGTGTTTTCTCCTTCATTCCCAGCACTGAATCAGTCACCAAGGCCAGTGATTCTGTCTTCCTATTTTTCCCTTCCTCTTTCATTCCTAGATCAATCACTAAAATTACAAATGCTTCTCTTCATATCCTCATGAGTTCTACTGCTTCATCACAGGTGTCTACAGAGCACATAGGGGGTCTGTCTCTTCCACCATGAAGTTCGGCTATTTAGCCTGGCATTCTGTGAAAGTATCCTACATTACTGTCCAATTTTATTCCCATCACCCCCTACTGTGAGCTGTTTGCACTCACTGAAACACATTCTTAGCTGCTGCCTTTTACACACTGGGCCTTTTCCTCTTCTGTTCCAACTTGTATAATTCTCCTCATCCTTTGGGATCTCAAAATCTCATGTCGGAAGCCTTCTCTAGCAGTCCAAGCCACAGCAATCTCTCCTTTATAATACTTAGGACATCTAGAAACTGTTGTAATTATTATAGACATCTTCCCACCATCAGCAATCCTCCTTAACACCCTGTCTTAAAAAACTCTTCAGTTGTTTGCAACTGACTAGAATTTTCCAGCTTAGATTTCTAAAATTTGTTTTTTTTTAATTACTAAACACTAAGTATGTTGCTCATGATTAAGTTAAAATGTGACTTTTATGACACATTATGCTTGCAACAGAGAATCACATTTCCTTGTCTTCAACAAATACACGTAAGCCTACATTACATTTCCTGAGGCCAAACATAAACCTTAAAAATTCTGAGTAGCAGTCACCTGAATGAAAGTTGCTGGTTTACATTCCTAGTTCTATTTGCTTGAGGGACATTGCTTTTTTGCTCTTTAGGTGATCAACCAGGGTGACACAAGAAAAATCATAGTCTTTAAGTTGATTTATAATGATATTTTTTCCCATATCACAGAAAAAAGGAGCTGCAATATTCTCTGAATTGTTTGGTACAGAACGCAACAATAATGTCAGAATCTATCTAAATACTCTCTAAACTTGGATTTAAAAATCTTTAAATGCTAAAGAGGTTGGTCAACATTAGTTAAGGTAGAATCAAAATGAAGAATTACTCTCTGACTTTACCTACCTGCCTCCATTTTACATATAAAGCCCTTTTTTTCTTGACACGGAGATAGCTGCCATAATCCTTCAGGGATCCTCAGGGCAACACAGTGATGGGGCTTGAAGTAGTCTGTGCCTGGCTTCCGAATGCCCCAGTTTGACTGGTCTGTAGGAGTTCCATCAAACCACTTTATGGTTTCATCTGTGGGAAAATTGCTGACTCATTATGAATTATGTGCATGGTTATCAAACGTACTAAGACTGGAATTAACCATAAAAAGCAGCCCCTGAATTTAATGAGACTCTTGAACTGATGCATTCAACTCAGTAAATACAGTCATGAACTCAATATCAAAAGGTAAGCATTAATAAAGTTGCCTGTTTATTTTAGATACAACGTTCTAATTTAGTTCATTTAGGTTGTCATGTTTCTTAATGTGACAGTTTGAATTTTGAAATATTCTATATATTTATAATCACTTTAAATAAATCATTTGATAAACAAGACTAATCAAGTAAAGAAAAATCCTTTCAAGTCCTAACATCTTTATCATTACAAAATGGCTTTCTAAAGTGATTTTTTTTTTTTGAGATGGAGTCTTGCTGTGTTACCCAGGCAGGAGTACAATGGCGTGATCTTGGCTCACTGAAACCTCCACCTCCTGAGTTCAAGGGATTCTCCTGCCTCAGCCTCCTGAGTAGCTGGGATTATGGTGCCTGCCACCATGCCCAGCTAATTTTTGTATTTTTAGTAGAGACAGGGTTTCACCATGTTGGTCAGGCTGGTCTTGAACTCCTGACCTCATGATCTGCCCGCCTTGGCCTCCCAAAGTGCTGGGATTATAGCATGAGCCACTGCACCCGGCCTCTAAAAAGATTTTACAGTGAGTTTCTTTAATAGCAAGCCAGCCATGTACCAAGAGGTTAGGGGCAGTAGGAGAGTCCGTGTCATATGTGGGCAATAAAGGGGAGTGTATTGTCTGAAAATAATTTAAAACTAACAATAAAACGAACTAAAAGTCGGTCTGCTTTTTATTATCACCATCTGCTTGAAATTCTAAATAATGTTGGTGATTAAAAATCCCTCCTTGAAAGGGTAGGCTACCCCCTAACTTGGTACACCACTGTAACAGGCTCTCCATACCAATTAAAATAATTTTCTCTGAAAGTACCTTTCAATAACCATCAATTACATAAAGAAAATAATACCATGCTTCCATTTTATTAAAAACTCTGGTTTTTATGAGTAGCAAATAAGAATCCTAACAGCACAGTTTATCATGGAAACATTTTCATAACCCTATTGTGCTTTTATAACATTTAGAAACCAGGGATATTTTCAAGTAAATATGGTTTGGGTATGCTATGGCTAAGTCTGTGAACACAAAGTTTTAGCCAAGCATCTTCCTGCTAAGGATAAAGATAAACATGTTATTGTTTGTTTGCTTTTATTTTTGGTATTCCAGGATTTTTTCAAAAGACAAAAGGGTTCAGAAAAGGGTTCCAATGTTGTTTTTGGAAGATTCCAAATGGCTTTTGGCTTCATGCTATTTTTTCACAGCAAATGTATCCAAGGAGAGTTTTCTGGCTCACAGATGCCATTATCATCAGCTTTAACAACCATGTATTTATTTATGTCCTCTCCTCTACCCAAATCACTTACTGTTACCATCAAATTGAGCATTCAACCAAACCATCTGGACAGAAGAACCAAACGCAAACAGCTCTTCTAGGAGAAATGCATTTTCAGCCTCATCCTTGATTGTTAAAAGATTAGATCCTATAAGAGAGACAAGTAGCAAAGGAATATTTGTGTTTACACGTAAATATACTTTAAAATGTGTTTCCTATACCATTATTTGCAAAGCACAGGTTTTGAAAAGTGAAAATTTCCTTGTAAATAAGAGATTTTAAATGAAAAAACTTAAAGAAAACTGCATTTTAAAAAAGATACAAGCTTGCACTTCAGAAGTTAAGGCATAGAATATTAATTTTAGGGAACATTCAAAATTCATAATGCAAATGCATGCAAAAGGAACGTTTTCTTCGGAAAGTGCAGTGTGCTGAGACATCATCTTAGGTGTCCGAATTCTATACTGGACATTGTTTCATTTAGTAGCTGTCCTCCAAACAAGCAACTTCAAATAGTATGTATTTTTTCAATAGTTTTTGTTGCTCCTAAAGTCACTAAATAATGGGATGAATAAAGAAATTCACATTGTTTACTGAAATGGCAAGTAGGAGCACATGAAAGCATTTTTACCATCACAAAAACAATTACCTTCCTTTTTGCAAAATTCATGAGCAGCCTCAAAACTCATACCATCTAGGACTGTAGAAAAACTGTAGCAATTACTTTTAAATTTTATCCAGGGAATAGATGTTTCTGAGCACAACTCTGGGTGTTCAGATGGTCTTGTTTCTGTGAAGAAAAACCAGTTATGATTTCAGAGTGGTGACTGGGTTTATTTATTGAGATAAATATTACATTACATTCTATAAAAGACCAAGATAAATAAATGTAACAAGATTTTCATGGTAATACTCTAAAAGATTGGGTTTCATGTAAATGATTATAAAACTAGAACCAGCTTATAGCATTTCTGATGGAAATAATCTTTACCTAAACATAACAAGATATGTTAATGCACAGCTTTGGAGGCTTAGTTTGGGTACTGCCTGGGTGAGGGTGGCTGTCTTTCATGTTTACAATTAGCATCCTAAAGGTTGGAACAAGTAGGGGCTATGACTCCTGGAGAGAGTGGCAGCTGACTGATGCTGGCAAGAGATTTCCAAATGTATGCGCTTCACGCAGTGCTGTGTATCACAGATTTGAAAAGTCCTTACCCACCAATAAACCTATGAAAGAAAATAAGGCATTCCATAAAGCATCATAACACAGCATAACATAAAATAAATGAGGGAACTCCAGGGGGACTTTATTTCAGAGAGCAAGTGTGAGAGTCAGACACATCCATGCTGCGATCCCGGCTCCACCACTTACTAGCTGTGTGGCCATGGGGATGTTACCTTGCACTTGGTTTCTTTAGCTATAAAAGAGAGTTAGCAACAAAAACTTTAAAAATAATTTTTTTAATTAAAAAACTTTTTTTAACAGACAAAGTCTCGCTCTGTTACCTAGGCAGAAGTGCAGTGGCACAATCACAGCTCACTGCAGCCTCAAACTCCTGGGGTCTAGTGATCCTCTAGCCTCAGCCTCCCAAGTAGCTAGGACTACAGGCACACACCACGAAGCCCAGATAACTGAAAAATTATTATTATTATTATTATTATTATTATTTGGTAGAGAAGGGGTCTCACTGTATTAACCAAGCTGGTCTCAAACTCCTGGCCTAAAGAGGTCCTCCTGCTTCTGCCTCCCAAAGTGCTGGGATTACTGGTACGAGCCACACGGCCACCTTCCTTACAAGTTGAGAAGTTTAAATGAGTTAGAGCCTCACAAAGCATTCAATAAATGCATTGTTATTGAAAGGTCATGATTCCAAGAAAAGGCAAGTGCTAAAAAAAAAAAAAAAAAAGGAAAAACGGGAAGGACTGCTTTTATGGTGTTTCAGAAGCAAAATTAGCTTTTCCAAGATATAGGTGGCTATCATTTACATTTAATCCTGAATTGTTTTGATCTAATGATATATAATTTGTATGTTATTTGATACAGTACCCAGAATGTAAGTAAATACATGTGCTTTTACTAAATGAGATATTTAAAAGGAGGCCAGCTTGTGTTAGGGAATTCCATGCAGGAAACTTGATTTCTACTCTTGGTACTGGTGATGGACAGCTGTGAGATATTCAGGAAGTTATTTAATGCTCTGAGTTTACATTTCATGTTTAATCAAGGGGTAGACCAGGTGAACTTTAAGTGTAAATGAGATATTATATAAAGTGCAGAGCCAGATATCTAGTAAATATCCAAACAATATCATCGTCGTCGTCATCATCATCATCATCATCATCATCGTGGCTCTGGAATCCTATCAGTCATTGACTTAAACATGCATCCTCAAAGTCCTCCACACATGCTTGAAGCCCATGTTTCTCGTCTAATTTCCCACCCCTCCTTTACACCTAACCTGCATTCAGGCAAATCCCAACATCAGCTTTGCTTTACACAAGCCCAGTCCTGTCTTCCTTCCACATTTTCATCCGGCTTTTCTCAGAATGCCTTTCCATGTCCCATTATTACCCATCTACACCCACCCATTTATCTACTTGTATTTCCTTTCCTCCCTCCCTCCCTCCCTTTCTCCCTTCTTTCATCCTTCCTTTTTCTTTTTTCTTTCTTTCTTTCTCTCTTTCTTTCTTTCTTCTCTCTCTCTCTTTCTTTTCTTTCTTTTTTCCTTCTTCCTTTCTTTCTCTCTCTCTGTCTTTCTTTCAACAGAGTTTCACTCTTGTGGCCCAGGCTGGGTTGCAATGGCATTGACCACAACCTCTGCCTCATGGGTTCAAGAGATTCTTCTGCCTCAGCCTCCCAAATAGCTGGGATTACAGGCATGTGCCACCACACCCGGCTATTTTTATATTTTTAGTAGAGATGCGGTTTCTCCATGTTGATCAGGCTGGTCTCAAACTCCCAACCTCAAGTGGTCCACCCATCTCAGCCTCCCAAAGTGCTGGGATTATAGGCATGAGCCACCATTTATCAAGGCCCATCTGCACTGCTGTGTCCTTCAAGAAGCCTTTCTACCTTTCTCCAAATGGATATGATACATTCTTTTTCTTTTCTTTTTCTTTTTCTTTCTTACATCATTTGTAGTTCTACTTTTCTTTATATCACCACCCAGACCAGAGGCTTCTTGAAGACAGAGACTTCTTACTATACTCATCCTCATAACCCTTGCTTAGCACAGTGCCTTGCATACAGTAGTTACATAGAGTGTATTTTTGAGTTGAGTAGAATTGAACCTACCAGGGACCACATGACAAACGGCACCTTGCAGAAATGATTCACAGGCTGTTCTATGCCAGCGTCCATTGGTGTCGGCAAAAACACAGTCACCAAGGAAGGATGACTCCTCGTCTTTCCAAAAAGTGAAAGAGGATTTCGTGCCATCAGACCAGTCAAAATTAAGACCATTCTGTGGAGGAAAACTGAGTCATCATTTCTTTGCCACAACTGCTGGCAGCATCACCCAATGTTATCTGAGCATACTACAATTCCCACATTGATTTATATTTCCACACCCCATTTTAAAGAGGGTCTAGGACCTCTGTGAATACAGCTTGACAAACAGGAATACCTGTCACAAATGAGATCTTTTTTTGATTTTTAGGAATTCTTGGCTCCCTATCACTATGATTTTCTAGTGAGCAATCAGAGTGGAATTGGACCAGTACTTTGTCTTTTACACTGAAATAAATTTCAGATTAAGCAAATTCTCAAACATAAAATTGACAACATAAATGTGTTAAAGAAAACTTGGTTAAGTTTTTTTGTACTGTTGGTGTGGAGAAAACCTTTCTAAGTCATAGAAAATCCAGAGACCATACAGCAAAATTGACTACATAAAGTTAAAACATTCTGTACTACATGAGGCAATAAGTAATTGTGAAATAATTATTTTTTACCTCTCCCACTGGCAAGGATTACAATTTTGATAATACTTGGTGTTGGCAAAGATGTGAAAAAACTAGACATTTTCACATGCTGTTGTTGGCATATAAATTGGTGCAAACTCTTGGAGGGCAATTTGGTAGTACTTGTCAAAATTTAAAGTGTACTCAGCAATTTTACTTCTAAGAATTTATCGGCCACGTGCAGTGGCTCATGCCTGTAATCCCAACACTCTGGGGGGCCGAGGCAGATGAATCATGAAGTCAAGAGATTGAGACTATCCTGGCCAACATGGTGAAACCCTGTCACTACTAAAAGTAAAAAATTAGCTGGGCATGATGGTGCCTGCCTGTATTCTCAGCTCCTGGGGAGGCTGAGCAGGAGAATCTCTTGAACTGGGGAGGTGGAGGATGCAGTGAGCTGAGATTGGGCCACTGCACTACAGCCTGGGCAACAGAGTGAGACATTGTCTCAAAGAAAGAAAAGAAAAGAAAAAAGAATGTATCCTACTGGCACAGATATATTTGTTGTGCATTGTTTATAACTGAAAACCTAAGAAGAACCCAAATGTCTATTCACAGGAGTATGGTTTAATAAGTTGTGGTATATCCTTACATGCTGAGTTCTAAAGAATGCATGAGATTTTTATATACTGACATGTGAAGTTGTAAAAGATATATTAAATAAAAAAGCAAGTTTAAAGACAGCATGTATAATAGGATCTCATTTGCGCTTGAAAAACAATATACATATTCTTCCATTACATGAGTATATTTGTGTATATGGAACACATATATGTGTACATGGAAAATTTCTAGATAGCACACAAGACAGTATTCACAATTACTAATATTAGGGAGTAGAACTAGGGCTCAGGATAGAGTTTACTTTTCACTACTTTGAGTGTATAATATTTTTATTTAAAAAATGAAAATAACATATTCTCTAAACCGCATCCCTAGAGGAAAATAAAACCTAAAGTGTTTAATTATAAGGGGTACTCAACTAATTAATAATCACATTCCTAGACAAGAAACATGATTCATTATTTTTCTTGGGGATTTCTTAACTGCCGCAAATTCCTAAATGCAGTGCTTGAGTTTCGGATGTGTTCCACTGCACATGCAAGGCAGTATTGGGGCACTTGGAAATTTTCAGAGAACCAATGAAGGGTATTAACTTCCAGACATTAGGCAAGTGTATGTTTACCCTAAAGAGGTGTTCACTCTTATTTTGTAGGCATAGGCTGCTCATAAGGTTGGTCAAATAATCACAAAAACCAATTATTTAAGCATTATGTTTACTATTATTTTAGGGGTTTGTTTTTCAGTGCTACTTTCAGTGGCTACATCATGGAGGAGGAAGATGCTAAAGTTAATTATGCAAGGATATTTCAAGGGCGTTAGGATACCTACATCTGCGGAGAACAGTCCAATCCAGTGGGAATATCCCAGCCGGTTGAGGACAACAGTGAGGAAGGACTGGTGATACTGGTCTGTGATGCTGACCAGCTGTGCTCCGTGCATCATGCAGGTTTTTATTGCTGCATACCAAGTCATATTTGCATGAATTATTTTGTAAGTTCTGTTTCCATATTCTAAGGTATTAGGGATTGGATACATGTCAGATGTGTTTACACTGTGTCCAGAAGTATCTAGAACAAGAACAGCAACAAAAGTCATTTGTAGCATCTGGATGAGAAAGGAGGAGGCAAAGCTTAGCATGGATCCTTGTCACTATGACCCAGGTTGATCAGACAGCTTTCTTCTGGAATTGGCTATTTCAAAATGAGGACACTATCTGAAAATGTAGGTGATGCTAAAAAATGAGAAGACTTAGGAAATTTAATGAATCATTTTTCAAAAACATAAACATAGATTGAACCATTTCTAGAAGATTTCTCATTTTTGACCATTCCTTATCAAATTGACTACTTTTTGGTGAACTGATGATGATCTTTGTAGGTGGATTTCACTCCACTAACTATGCTTGGCCTAATCCACTGCTTTGGCAGAACTTAATGCTTTTAAATAGTAGAGAGGCACATGTTATGTAGTCATATGCTGCATTGCAAACCTAATATTACAGGTGTATATTATCAGGTAAAATACTTGATTACACTTTTGAGACTGATGGTCACTATTATGTTTAATGTTTGCATGTATACTTCTAAAAATAATTTAAAAAATAAAGGTAATAAATTCTTAGAAATGCACACTGTTCTTATAAACAGTTACTATTAACATGTCACCTGTAAGAGCCAAGGTTTGCAAATTAAAAGGCAAGGTTTGTTCACATGTGATCATTGGTGGTTGAGAGTTCATGAGAGGCTGTGACCATGTGAAAACCAAGCCTGTGTTTTACAAACAGGTGTTTCCTCTCTGATATGTGCATTTGCCTTTCTGTTCTGTATTATGTTATGTACTAGAATAGACTTAAGGTTTAGAAACTCTAACAGACAAAAAACAAAGTAAGAGTTTTTATACCTTCTGATCCAAAGTGACTTGAACTTCTGTGTACTACATTTGGTTTTACTACATTTGGTGTTGGAAGGAAGCATGTGAGGTATGGGCAGGTCACAAGACCTAGGACTTAATCCTATTCCTGGCCCTAACTGGTAAAGGGTCCTTGGGAAGATTAACCTTTCTTAACCTCGAACTTATGGTCTACAAAAGATGATTAGGGTCTCCCTTGGAGGGGTGTGAATAGAGCTGAATGAGATATCCACACAGGGCACACACTATTGCATGGAGATGCAGAGGCATCCTATGAATGTTGCTTCTTGCTCCACTCTCTTCCTCTGGTCATAGTCCCCCAGTAAAAATGGCAAAGCAGGAGACACCTTTATCTGAAGCTGTTACCTCAATATAGCAGCCGTACATATGGTAAAACAAAGTAAAATAAATCTACTTAATTTCTATAAATGGTGATGGAACCCACTTTTATCATATTTTTACTCTTTGCTAGAAGTCTGTGCCCAGCCTATGTGCCCAGTGTAATGGTTGTTTATACAAAATCAAAATAATATCAAAGTAGCTATTTTAAAATGCTAACAATTCATAAAATTAAATGAAATTCTTTGTATATGTTACCAAATGCCAATTTGACTGTTTTTTCCCCAGAGTTATGTATCTGTATTTTTACATACATGAATTTCTCCATATGTAATTGATTTCATTAAATTTCAAAACAAGTTATTTTGAGCAGCATGGTTTTGCCACCCATTGCCCTGAAAAAGAAAGATCTCTTGGAAACCCAGTTCTAAACTGCGGAGTCTTGCTTTGCCCTTGTGTCCCTTCTCATTCAGCGTTCTTAATTTTTTGGCAGATAAAAGACTGTGGGCTCAAGCCCAATGTAAGCACATATTTATCTGGCAAACAGAGAAGAGGAGCAGAACTTGAATATTTATTGTTGGCTACAATAATTAGTGTGATTGAACAATAATTTTTGGAAATAATAAAAAAACTCTATCATTTGTTAAATATATGCTAGAAGTCTGCTAAGTGTTATATATACATAGAGTGTGTGAGATGGTTATCACCACATTTTGCAGCTACAGAAATCATGATCATAGAAGATAAGTAACTTGACTGAAGCTTATCTACAGAGGAGGGTGGGAACCCATGTGTGGTGGGCACTCCAGTGCCTATGCTCTCAATCACCACTATTCTGTACTATCTCCAAAGGAAAATTCACACTGTCAGTCCCAAAAATACCAAAGAGAAAAAGTGATCAGAGGCAAATTTCAAGAACAAATCAACATCAAGGTAGTGGAATAGAATCATTGTGCTTAACTGAGATATCTTGAGTGTGTTATTTTTGTTTTATTTTGTTTTCCCAGAGAGAGAGAGCCTCACTCTGTAGTCCAGGCTGGAGTGCGGTGGTGTGTTCTCCATTCACCGCAACCTCTGCCTCCCAGGTTCAAGCCATTCTCATGCTTGAGCCTCCCGAGTAGCTGGGACTACAGATGTCTGCCACCACACCCAGCTGCATTTTTGTATTTTAGTAGAGATGGGGTTTCAACATGTTGCTCTGGCTGGTCTCGAACGCCTGAGCTCAGTCAATCCATCCACCTTGGCCCCCCAAAGTGCTAGGATTACAGGTGTGAGCATTGCACCCACAAGGGTTACTTATGTTTTTAAGTCTCAAGTTTCTTATCTGTAAAATGGAAGACTTTTATCTACTTCATAGAAGTGTTTTGAGGATTTTATGGCATATTGTGCATACACTCAAGGCACAGCGTTTGGTACATTATAAACGTGTAGGTACCTGGCATGCTCATATTATTTCTTTCCTTACAAGGCTCTGCTCTTCCCATGCTACTCTTGCTATTACATATCTAGTATCTTCTTTCAGTTCTTGAACGCTATAATGTTTAAGTGGTAACTGAGAACCAGAAATGGAGCTTCCCTGGCACTGCTTTTTTGAGGATGGGTTGATAGTAACATTAGAGAGTTTACATGTATGCCATAAGAAGTAAAATTCATATTCCAAGTAAGCATATATATTTGCTAGGCTGCCCAGAGTTCCACACAGCTCTAGATACCAACTATGACTTTCTCAGGTGGTATGGACAGGGATACCCAGCACTCAGTAAAAACATGAGCTGCTGTTTTTATTTACACTACTTAAGGTCAGTTATAGTGCATTCACACTGCTCATTGATGCTGTTGGTTATTTTGTAATAGTGTGGCTTTGGTATTTCACACCAGAAACCATTTGGGGGTTCTGCCCATCAGATCTAGAAACCTGCTGCATGCCACATTTGGCCACAGAGACCATTTTAGGGTTCCAGAAAAGGAGTAAGTATGAGTTGCTTTATTTCCCTAATTCTTTCCTAACATTTTTTCTCAGTGACCTTTAAAAATTAGCTGAACAGATACATACTCCCAGAAAGAAGCAGTAAAGCCATTTAATATGACTAAGATAGATACATAAATTTGGTCATCGTTCAAGTGGCCTCGGCAGTCCTTATAATCCCACTAAAGGGCATAAGCCTAGGGTAGGGGAGATTAAATAACTAAACTTACATAAAGCCAAAGAATAAGTGCCTGACACTGTTAGCTGTGAAACTGTTAGCTACACAGCTGTGTAGAACCAACAATGGAAGAGAAGGATGGACTTTGGAAGTGAAAGGAATAAAAAACCAAGTATATCTTACCTTGCATTTTTTCACATACAAATCCATAGCCTTCCTTTCTACAGTCTTCAAAATACCATTTTCCAGTGAAATGAAAATTAGGATTACTTGACAGCAAGGCACAGAGAGGAATGTGTTTTTGAACTTCAGTGGTATTGTGACTTGGAATCTTTAAAATAATACATGTTATCAAGAGTATAATAAAATATAGCATTTTTAAAACATTAAAATTTTTATTATGAACATTATTTTTAAAATTAAGATAATTATTCCTTTATTTGCATTTAATAAACATATTCACAAATTATTTCATAGCCTACAAAAGAAACAATTATTGTGATGAGTAAAGTAATTATATTTTTATATAAATTATATATAAAAAATTATATATAAAAAAATTATATAAAATTGACCAGGCTCAGTGGCTCATGCCTGTAATCCCACCACTCTGGGAGGCCAAGGTGGGTGGTTCACCTCAGGTCAGGAGTTTAGGACCAGCCTGATCAATATGGCAAAACCCTGGCTCTACTAAAAATACAAAAAACGAGCCAGGTGTGGTGCTGGGCACCTGTAATCCCAACTACTCAGGGGGCTGACACAGGAGAATCACTTGAACCTGGGAGGCTGAGGTTGCAGTGAGCCAAGATCACGCCATTGCAGTCTAGCCTTGGTGACAGAGTAAAACTCTGTCTTAAAAAAAATTATATAAAATTACATTAAAAATTAATATATAAATAAACTAATATAAATTTATATCTACAAAATATAGGAAGTAAAAAGCTTTAGTAAACAATTCTTGAATAACGTATCTTGCCAAAGTGATCTCTAAAAAATAAATATTAAAACTTACATTTATTATATCAAATGGAGACCAGTTAGAATATACCACAGGCTTTCCATTTAGCCATTTTTCATAATCATCATTTTGTAAACCTATCCACACACTAGTGGTCTGGCCAAAAAGATTCATCGTAATGAAAGCTGAAAAACAGGAATACATTATCTAATTTAATACTGTAGAAAGCATTTGAGTAATCACTGAATCCTATTTATAGCTCTGATTATATTTAAATGCCAGCAAAACATAATTATGAATCATTTGTAGGGATTTGCTACTTTATCCTTGTTAAGGTAATGCGGTTTCTTTCACTTTTGTTTTAGTTTAAATTGACAGAAATTAGCTGGATAACTTGAGATTTCATCATATCATTAGCAAATCAATTTCCAGTGTTCCTTAATTACCTTTCTAAATAAAAAGAGGATTTATCTACTGTATTTGAACTAAAGTATAAAATTGTTTAAATATCAAATAAAAGCATGTAGGTAAATGTAAAGGAATCTAAAAATCACATTACCATGGTAATTACCTGTAATTACCATGCAATTACATGTAGACTATACATTAGATTCTTTTAGCTGTTTTGAAATATAGGCCAGAAATATGTCCTTAATTCTTCCCACTGTTACTGGTGACAGAAAGGCTCCAAAACCCAGCAGTTTATAAGCAATGCAGCACACTAACTTTTACAGATGTCATGAAATAAAACCTATGGGTCAAACTGAAAATTCACATATCATCTGCAATACAGTATTTTAAATGTTGATTTGGGAATGTTAGTATTGGTGGGGGGATATTTTAATAAATACTTGAATAAAAATGATTATCTTGGCCTGGTTGGACCTTGAGTACTCTACCTTGCTCTACTTCACTTTCGATGGCAACCAGGGTCCCCCCTTCTTCAGCACAGAAATGTTGAGCATGCATCCAGTTCTTCCAACTGCTTGGGTCTTTTGGGATATTCAGCAAAAGGCACTATCAACAAATGTCAAAACAAAAGGTTCATTTCCGTATTTTTCTAAGTGAATTAAAACTTTCCCAAAGACACTGAATATCAGCTTTGAAAATTCTTTATAATTTTCTTGGGCAGAAGGAACTCATTTTTCTTTCAACTACTCCAAAGATGTTACAATAAAACAAAGAGGAGCAGCTTTCAGGGTGACTTAGTGACTTGCCTGCATTTGCAGGAACAGAAGCAGGGATGTGTTTTGTCATGTGAAATGTCAGAACAGTGTCTTCGATATAATGAAAAGTAGTATTATTCCTAAAAAGGAGCCACCCTGATTGCAAAGTTTACACTGGCACATTTAATCTAAAAAAACATTCTGGGGGTGGCAATAAAAAGCTTATTTCAATTTTATTTATAAACGTACTTCTTTAAGTGAGAGAGAAATACCGGGGAATTAAAGCACATCAGGTATTTAAATTCACTAAATACTTGAGTCAGCCATTTGGTCAGTAAGTCCATAAGGAAGAGTCAGAGAAGAAAAATAAATGATCCCAGTGGGAGAGAAAGTAAGGATATGACCAAGGAAACCTGGAAAGAAGTAGAAATGAAGGGGAAAGTTGGCCATCAATGTTAAAGGGAACACAAAAAAAGTTGTGGAATTTGGCAATATAAGTTGAGTGTTATGCAGGAGAGAATCATGTCTGTATCAGGGCAGAGGTTTCTTTCTTATGGGATGGGATGACAAATGGAATGATATATACTCTGCAGGACAGGCAGGATTGAAGATAAGTTTGTTTGTTTTTCCCTGAAAGTTCAATGGAATTTAAGCATGTTTTTAAGACTAGATGGAGTTAGATGAGAGGAAAAGATAGAAGAGAAAGGTTATAATGGATCAGACAAAATTCCAGAGAGATCAGGAGAGACTTTATGCAAAGAATATTTCATCTGGAATTTGCTGGGGATTCTTCTCCCATATCAATTCTGTCATCAATGAACACAGACAACCCTAGTCATGGATAGGTCAAATCCTGAGATCTTGCCACTGAGAAAAACCCAACTACAGGATAATTCTCGGTTAGCAGGGAAATCTACACCCGAACAAGCATCCTTTACTATCTTATTTTGGAATGATATCTGATATAGTTTGGATGTTTGTCCTCTCCAAATCTCATGTTGAAATGTGATTCCCAGTATTGAAGGTGAGGCCTGGTGGGAGGTGATTGGATCATGGGGGCAGATCCCTCGTGAATGGCTTAGGGCCATCCTCTAGGTGATAAATGAGTTCTCAGTTCACATGAGATCTGATTGTTTAAAAGTCTGGAACCACTCCGCACCTTACCCTCTTGTTCCTCCTCTTGCTATGTGACATGCTGGTTCCCCATCACCTTCCATCGTGATTGTAAGCTCCCTGAAGCCCTCACTAGGAGCAGGTGCAGGCACCATGCTTCTCATACAGCCTGTGAACTGTGAGCCAGAATAAATCTCTTTTCTTTATCAGTTACCCAGTCTCAGGTATTCCTTTATAGAGATACAAGGCTGGTCTAATATAATACCTTTCCCTATCATCCTTTAATTTCCAAATTTGTCAGTTCCCCACCCATTCCCTACCATATATACCCCTTAAAAGCAGAGAGACTGTCTTATTCCTTTTTGAACATCACACCAGAGAAGGTCCCTAGCAAACATTTATTAAGCAAAATGAAAGCTAACAGCCCCTAAATGGTTGTCAAATGACATTGTCAAGCATTTCAAATTTAGCTCAGTGTTCTCTAACAGGACGATTTAGCCCCTAAGAGTATATTTTGATAATGTCTGCAGGTATTTTTGGTTATTACAATTGGGGAGGGGGTTGCTATTGGCAACTAGTGGGTAGAGACCAAGGATGCTGCTAACCATTTGCAAAGCAAAGGTCAGGTCAGTCTTCCAAAAGCAAGAATTATCCAGCCCCAATCGTCAATAGTGCAAGGTAATTCTTTTTAAAAATAAATCCTGATCATGTCACTCGTTAGTTTAAACCCTTCAGGAATTTTCCAGTGCTCTTAGGATAAAAACCAGAAACCCTGAACTAGCTTGAAGTTGAGTTGCCAACTAAGAGAGAAAATACATTTTCAATTCTTCTGGTCCTTTTTGTCTTGTTTGCTTCACAAAGAAACTGAATTGGCTTTCAAGGAGTTAAATTTTATAACAACTATCCTTTTATCTATTTCCTTTTATTTTGGCCCTTTCCTCTAATTACAAATTCTAAAGAGTGGCACATATTAATTATTGGGAAGCCTTATCATTTAATGTGAATTCACCTTGTGTGCAGATAGTTACACTAATGAACCATTCATAAATACCAATGAACTTCATTGGTTCAGTTAGTTCAATAAATCTCTCCAGAAAAACACCCCCTTCTGCTTCCTCTATGTTTGCCTCAGCCAGGATTTACTAGCTTGACTACAGAAGTGTGGCCTCCCATTACCACGACTTCATTGTTTCTAAAAATCTAACATATTTCCTAACACACTCCGAAATGGTGTCATTAATAATTAAGGCAAAGCAGCAAGATGAAGTACAGCATCCTTAATTTAAAATTGTTTACTTACTAATTTGCAAAATGTGATCAAGTTTAATGTATTTCTGATTATTACTGTGAATTAAGGGGGTCTACTATATTCTAAATGGGTTTTTCAATATAAAATTCTTTTTTTGTCTCAAAATCATTTCTAGCTCAATATTTGAAAATGAAATTCATGTTCCCTCCAAACTTGGTCTTTTCCCAGTGTTCCTACTCACATTGAATGGCATGGTCAGCATGCATTTATACACATATAATAAGCCTGAAGCCTCAGAGGCATCCTCACCCTCTTACTCCATCATCCCAACAGCCCTACCATTTGGATATCTCATTTCCCAAAAAGCCCCCTTACCCATCCCCCATTCCCAGTGCCTCATGATCTCTGCCACCACCATCTTAGCCAAGCTTCTAATCTCTTGCCTGCACTGCAGCAATAGCTTCCCAAGTGTCCTTACCTTTCTCATCCTTGCCCTTCTCCCATATATCCTTGGCACTACATCTAGAATAATGCTTTTTAAAATTTGGTTCTGGCCACATCCTTCTTTAGTTTTGAACTCATCAAGCGTTTCCCATTGCTCTTGGATAAAGGCCAGAACTCCAACATGATATCACCCTTTCCTACTTCTTTTGCTTCGCCTTCTACCCCTCTGGTTCTCTATGCTTCCTTTAGCTTCTTAACTATCATACTCTCCTCTTGCTGCAGGACCTTAGCACATGAGGCTCTCCCTATTTTTAATGTTCCCTGTCTTTCAGACTACTTCAGTCAGGTCCTCCAGCTATACACTTTTCTAGAACCACATAACTTTCCTTCATCACATAAACCACAGTTTTAAATTATACAGCCATTTTCCTGATGGATTTACTAATGTTTGTTTTCCCTCTAGTGTGTAAGCACCGAAAGAGAGGGGGCTGTGTCTGTTTTTCCTCACTACTGAATTCCCAACATCAAATGAATGAATGAATAATGTGCTCAAATTTGAATAAATTCCCAAAACAGGTAAGAGTATTTTTAAGGAAAAACTTTGTTATGCACAAAAATCAAATATTGACTAATCCCAAACTCAATGGTGCAAAGCAGCCATTACCACTCAATCCAGGTCTTGAATAAAGAAGCACACACACACTTAGAATTTTTTCCTCCCACAGGTCTGCTGGGACAAGTATCTTAGATCCTGGGTTAACCCCTGGTCAAACATCTTTTACACTGTCAAACACAGAGAACACTATTTAGAAAAGATGCTTAATTTCTGTGTATCTCAGTTTTTTAAATTCTAAAAGGTGGTTGATTTGTCAACAAAGTGGGATTTTTTTTTTCTCAGAAATAACCAATAAAAATTAGTCCTAGGGAATTCACAAACAAGAAGCAAAGTTTAATGGGTCATAATATATTGGAACTCATGTCAGAATTGTAAAGTATAGTTCCATCATTGTCATCTCCCAGTTTTCCTTCTAAAGCTTTATTTGTTAATAGGGAAAAACTATCCCACGCCTGTCAGCTATCGGTTCTCCTATTAGCAGTTTTTCTAATCATTTGATAAACCCATTTGTTTCAAGGTGTAGATGACAGATGAGGCAATCTCAGAAATATTTTCATTTTAAAAATAAAGGAAAGTGTTGGGACAAGGGAGAGAAGCTCCAGTGGTGGAATTTTAGGCATTAATGTGCAGGGGAAGGCACTGTGGTTAGGGAGACATGCATGGTGACTTTGACACTGTGCCAGGTGAATTGCCACCTACTTAAGAAGCCTGCCGTGATCATATCCTTTGCAATCAAATTCTCCAAATGCCTTAAAGAAAGAGTTGTGGAACTATGACTGTTGGATTGCTGGGCAAATATTGGCTACACATTAGAATAACTGAGGGAGCTTTTAAAAAATACAGATGCCTGGATCCCATGCAGATCAGCTAAATAAGAATCTTCAGGACGTCTCCTGCATCTTGATGTTTTAAAAAAGCTCACCTGCTGATTCTAAATATTTGACCAGGGCTGAAAACTACTGATCTAGCTGTTAGTTATCAATAAATATTTTTTATAACTCTGAGCTATGTGAAGGTGTTTTAATCATGCTCCAGGGCTAGCTTCAGAAGGCGTCCCCATTCTCATGCATATATTTACGCCCCTCTCTATTCCTTTATTGGGAAGCATTCACTTGTTTTTTTGCCCTGAGTCTGCTCCACCATCACTGCCACCATGTCCATGCATATACGTACACACTCTCTACGTGTGCACAGGAGGACATGTGGGATAGAGTTGAGATGTGTGGGTAAAAATCGGGTTTGGGGGAAGGATTATAGCAAAAGCCTGAACAAGAAACAATTATTCTGGGTTTCTAAGAATTTTTTCTCAAATGTCAAGGATTTGGTTCCTCATTCATTTCCTTAAAATATCCTCTTTTACACATGAAAGGAGGCATGAGTTAGTAACTAGAACAACTGTGTTCATGCTTTGGTTTGTTCACTTTCTGTA